AACAGGTTTTCTAACCCTTGCTCCTTTTGTTCTCCTTCTGTGTTCCTATGATTCAAATGTTGTTGCATCTCATGTTGTCCCAAAGTTCCCTTAAGCAATCCTCATACTTTTTTTGAGTCTTTTTTCATACTGTTGCTCTGCCTGGTTATTTCTTTCTACCTGTCTTCCAGCTCACTAATTCGGCCCTCTGCTTCATCCAGCCTGCTTGTAATTCCTTCTAGTGTATTTTTTATTTTAGATATTGTGTTCTTCATTTCTTTCTGGTTCTTGTTAATAGTTTCTATTTCCTTTTTCATGCTGTTGTAGTTCCCACTCAGCTCCTTGTAGTTGCCCCTAAGTTCCTTGAGCATCCTTATAACCATTCTCTTGAATTCTAGGTATGATAGATTGCTTGTCTCCATTTCATTTAGCTCTATTACTGAGGATTCTTCTATTCCTTTCGATTGGGGGTTCTTTCTTTGTCGCCCTATTTAAGTGAAACTTTTTGTTTGTTTCTGAATCTCAGGGTGCTCTGCTATGCCTTGCCTGTCTTTTTAGAGTGGACTTCTGTTGGACTCAGTAGTGCAGTGTCTTTGATCTCCTTATCTAGACACTCTAGGATTGTCCTTTCTTCTGTTTGCATGGGCTCTTTTGTTGTACTTGGCCTTTACCTGGTGGTTTATTTGTTGATACATTCTCCCATCCAGCAGTCTTACTGGCAGTCACAACTCCCAATTTGTCTTGTATGCTGTTGTATAGGCATTGGTTAATGAAGCAGTGTTACCAGACAACCAAACCTACATCATCAGAAAGAACCCCTCTACCACACCAGCAATCTCAACCACAACTGAGCAAAGGTTAATATAGGTTAAGAGATTACAGAGATTATAAAATATGACAAAGGAAATATGAGATGACTAAAAGTGGGGAAATGTTATTAAGTGGTAAGAGCAAAGAGAACTGATAAAAGGAGGGATAGAACCAAGGAAGAAAGGGGGAGAACAAAAATTAAAATGTAAATAAAACACAAAAGGGTGAATAAAACAATGGGGTAAGAAAAGGGAATAGTATACTATGAGGTTTGAAGTAAAATTGAAAATGTATTGGACCAACAGAAGCAAAATCGAAAAAACCACAGCAGGGTCAATAGCAATGACAGCTGAATGAAGTATAATAAAGGTAGAGAAAGAATAAGAATATTGTACAAAAATGAAAAGTGAACATGAGATGTCTACCATAAAGAAAAATGACTTTGAGAAGATAGGTGAAGTAAACTATAATAAGAGTAAGAAGTAAATCCCAGGTTGAGACAAGAGGAAAGAAATGAAATAAAATTCCTCACTCAACTGATCAGGGGGTGGGGGAAGGTGAAATGGAGTAAGGAGGCTGAGAGTATTCTGTAGGATTTAAAGAGCAAACAAATACTGAACAAATAGGACTTTCACTGGAGAAGTACACCAATAACCATGGTATTTCACCCAACTAGCCACTGTTTATAAAAGGTGGAAAAGAAATAAGACTCTTATAAGAAGGGAAAAAGAAAGTGAAAGAAGAAATATTAAAATGCTATATGAAAGGAATAAAAGACAGAGAAAGAGAAAAAAACACACAAGTCCTGATGAAGACCAAGGTGGAATTCATCTCAGCTGTTTGTATTCACCTTCTGACTTCCTTCCGGATCTGTCTCTGGTTTTCTGTCAGCTCAGGGTCCTGGGGTGGGTCATCCAACTTCTGGCAACACTGCCTGTGTCTCCTCCCCTGACTCTAGAGGGAGCTTTTTTGGGGATCAAGAAGGTGAGGCGTGTGTGTCTCACCTGGGAGGCACTGTTCAGTCTTCTGGGAAAATTGTGAGTGCAATCCTTCTGCCCCTACTCCTTCCGTCTTATCTGTCCCAGTTTATTTCCAATATTGTATAGTTTCTGCTAAGATAGATGTGTGTTTCATGAGGGGTTGGGGACAATCTGTGTAAGAGAGTCAGCTCTCTCCCGCTTGGTGTAGTCTGCAGCTCTGTGTGTGAGCCAAGTCTGGGCAGCACCCAGAATCCCCCTTGTTGTACCCTTTCTTAACTTTCTGTTTTGATGGCCTCAGTGAAATCGGGCCCTGGGACCCAGTGTACTTTGTCTGCCAGTGAGGAAATTAAAACTTGGCCCTTTTTGGGATTATGCTTGCTGTCTTACTTTTGCAGAAAAGCCCCGTGCAGGGTGTTAAGCCTTCCCAGCTGGTTTTACAGATCTTTCCTGTTCCTGCCAGATTTGGGCATCTGGGTTCAACTTCCCTTCCCTGAAGTTCTGCCAAGGAAGGGGGCCCAGCCTGGTCTCACTTGATTTCAGGTGCACAGTCCCCAGCCCACTGCCCTCACAGCACGCTGCGGCCCACACTCCCTACTCTATGCCACTCTACCAGGCTGGGGCCAAGAAACCACTTTGATCAAACCTCCCCGGTGTACTGATTGGGAGCAGATTGTATCCACAGTCCTCCCTCCTGTTGCTTGGGCAGATGCACATGCCCGGGGTCCCTGCACATCACACCTCAGCTCCCCTTTTGAAAAATGTCTCTCTGGGGGCTACTGCTGCAGCCCCGAGGCACTGCCTAGCTTTCCACACACTCCAACTCTCTGACAACCCAAGAGTCCATCTCAGTCACGGCCAGTTGTGGCCCTCCTCCTCCACCAGCTCTAGGTGCAGCCAGAATCACCCCACTCTCTGGTACTGTCCCTGTCAGTATCCGGCGCTCCAGGTAAGGTACACTGCCAGCTGTGTGCATGTGTACAGCCTGTTTCTCCCCTGCCACTCTGAGCATTCAAGTTGCTCCCAGCCCAGGTCTGTGGATTCCCCGCCCTGGAAGAGGACAGAGCCGCTGGGGTGCTCTCCCTGACTGGGCTTTCGGGGATGATTACCCCCGCCCCCGCATCAGCCCCGGTTTCTGGCACCATGCCCTGTGACTTTCCCCATCCACCTAGAAAACCTCCTTACCACACGTTTTGAAGTGTCCTCTGCACACTTTGGCTTCCAAACATCAAATCAGCTAATATTCTGTTGATTGTTCGCTTTGTTTTTGGTAGATGAGCTAAGTGTCCCAGCTGGGTGACAAACAAGTGGGCTTAGCTCCCACTGACTTTGCTGCCATTTTCCTCTCCTCTACCAGGATATATTGTAAATACCTATTAATCCTTTCTTGTTGGCTTGCTCTCTCCATTACTGAGACAGGTGTGTTTATCTTGTTTTACTGAATAACAAAAGACCTGTAAACCCTCACCAACAGCATCTACAAAGCCCATAGAGCTTCTCCCAATAGTCTCTCTAAGGCCCTTCCAAGGCCAACTGTCTTGATACAAAAACACGGCACACTTTTCAGTGTTACTACGAATAAAAAGATGTTATAATCATTCATGTTCAAGTCCTTGTTCAGACAAACATTTTTAATTCTCTTTAGTAGAGGTTAAAAACAAACATTTCTCTGCTGAAAACAAATAACACATGTCATTTTGCTCATGATTTCCGGGGTCAGGACCTTGAGAAAGACTCAATTTGGCAGTACTATCTTGGGGTCTCTTATGCGGTTTCACTTAGATACCATCCGGGGCTAAAGTCACCCGACGGCTCCTCTGAGCTGGAAATCCAGATGGCTCCCTTACATGGAAAACACCTGATAATTCAGCTTCACAAGGCCTCCTGCATATGGCCTCTGCAACATGACAGTCTCCAGAGAGTCAGACTTCCCTTAAAGCAAATGTCCTAATGAATCACAGGAAAGCTGCACGATTTCTCTGACCGAGTGCTGAGAATTAAGCGGTGTTGTCTTCCCTGTCTTTTGTTGCTTTAAAGCAGCTCTCGAAGGTCAGTCAAGATCAAGTGAAAGAGATATGGACCTCTCTTCTCAAAGAATGTATTATCAAAAATTATTTGGAAATGTTTAAAAAATCATCACGGTATATTAAATATCCAACTGTGTGCATTTTCGAATTTCCTCTGCATTTTGTTTTGTCAGTTACTGCTTTATAAATCTAGGACTTAATGTACATGAAGATTACACCTTTTCACCATGTTTTTTGTTTCCCTTTTTGTATTTTTCCATTCTTTGCCTGTCTGGGCTTTCTTCTATATATTTGCCTCTGATCTTCTGTTTTACTATTTATACTATGTGTTGATCTAATGTGCCGTTACACTCATTTTTTGAGTTCTGCCAACTTTTTAAGTCTTAGAATTTTTATTTGCTTTTTGTAATAACTTCTCTGCCAAGATATGCATTTTGTCATTTAATTCTATGTGCATTTTAATAACGATTATCTAAACTCCTTGTCAGGTAACTATATGCCAGATGCCTTGTGAAAACCTTTGTAATGTTGCCGTTTTCCTCTTGGTTTTCCATGAGATCTCTACATGGGAATTTATTTAATGACAGACATTGTAGAAATCCTTCAGAATTCATCTTATTTTGCTTTCTCCAGGGACCTGATTTAATGGTGGATAACCATATTTAAAAGGAAACGCAGTGATTAGAAGTTAAGCACCCTTTCCTGTGAGGAATATTTTTAGTTTACTTTGCCTTCTATGATACAGGGTTAACAGGGAAGGTCCTCCGGGGCTCACTCTAATTGTACTTTGTGTTCCCTTAACCCCACGAGTCTGGCAAAATCTCTGCTGAGCTGTTCAGAATCTCAGTCATCCCCTTTGAATTGACAAAGTTCTCACAGGTAAGTGGCTCACTTCTGCCCTTTACTTCTTTCTGAAAGTGGGGATCTTAAAATTCTCAATGCCTTCCTAGCTCTGCAACACTTTCAAAGAGTACTAATATATTCCATTTTTTATTTCTAAACTCATTTTTCAGCAATGCTTAGTTTAAAAAAGATATTTTGGCATTGTTGGAGGCAGAACTCTCCATAAAGAAGGTGACCTCTAATACTATGATAACATTACTCTGAACTTACAGCTTTATTCTCAGACCCCATCATTAGGTTATTATATAATTCCATTTCCTGTTCTTTAACCCTACTAACACTCTGCCTACTGCTGTTTCTGTAGGAAATCAGACCCAGGTGCTGCCCCAGTGCGACTCGGTGTCTGAACCAGCAGGCTCTGCAGCCTCAGAGGACAGCGCTGCCAACTGCTCAGGTGAGGGCTCCCACGGGGCCAGAAAACCCTATTCTTTTTCCCTCTGTAAATGCCCCATTTACCCCTCTCTCTTCAGAGAGCAGAGCGCTCCGCCTGGTGGACGGGGACAGTCGCTGTGCCGGCAGAGTGGAGATCCTCCACAGGGGCGCCTGGGGCACCGTCTGTGATGACGGCTGGGACCTGAACGATGCCCGGGTCGTGTGCAGACAGCTGGGCTGTGGACAAGCCCTCAATGCCACGGTCTCTGCTCACTTCGGGGCAGGATCAGGCCGGATCTGGCTGGATGACGTGAAGTGCACAGGAAAGGAGTCCCACCTGTGGCAGTGCCCTTCCCGGGGCTGGGGACAGCACGACTGCGGACACTACAAGGACGCAGGGGTCATCTGCTCAGGTCAGCGCTGCACATTGTCCATTGGCTGGGGAGGAGGTGGGGGCCCTCGAGGATGGGAGTCTGAGCCCTGAGACTGTTGCCGAAAGGGCCAGAGGAGAAGGAAGCTGCCTTCCACAGGGCCTGCCTGTCTAGCAGGTATGACGATTGGTGATTTCATTTCCTCCTGCGGCAGCGGGGGCTCTGGTCCTTCCTTCTCAGCAATATCTCCTGACAAAGCCATTTTTTAACAGAACTTCCATTGAAAGCAGGGCTCACTCTTCAGTTGCTTATGGTAGTAACATCTTGAGATCCGACTGATGCTGTAATGAATTACCATATGGCTGAAAACAGCACAAATTTATTATTGTACGGTTCTGTGCATTAGAATCTGACAGCAGGCCCCATGGGCTGACGTCAAGGCGTCAACACCGCTGCACTCCTTCTGGAGGCTCTGGGGAAGATGTCCGCTCCCTGCCTTGTCTACTTTCCAAAGCTGGTGTGCATTCCTTCCTGGCCCCATGCTCCGTTTTTTTTCTTCAAACAAACAACGTTGCTTCCCTCTGACCCTTCTTCCTTAGCCACATTTCCCTCTGAACTGAAGTTGGGAAAGTTTATTTATTCTTAAGGGCAATGGGTCTAAGGATGTGATTAGACTGAAGTCACTTGCTTAATACACAATATCTCAGGTTAAGCTCACCACCTCAAGGTCTTTATCTTAATACAGATTCCCTTTAGGCATGAAAGTGAACATTTTACAGGTTCTTTGATGCGGAATATAGAAATCTTTGGGGGTCCATTATTCCACCTACCACCCACTATCCATACTCCCTCCCACATGCTCTGTCAGAAGTCTTGTCAGGAAGCAGGATTCAGCTGCACTCCCGGCAGAGGGCCCAGGCTGGAGTTCCTCTCTGTTCATGTTCCACTACATCACTCTGGTAGAGACAGACAGACACAAATGGACGAAGTCAGGGAAAAGGGACACAAATGTCAGTCTTGCACTTACTGGGTGTCTCCTCAGCGGAGTCAGCGATGAGTGTTCACATCCGCTGGGGGAGAGAAGAAACGCAGAGCTTTGCGTGGACTGCTCACTGTGCCCTGTTTCCCCTTTCATTTAGAGTCCCTGGCGCTGAGGGTGGTAAGCGAGGACCAGGAGTGTGCCGGGTGGCTGGAAGTTTTCTACAATGGGACCTGGGGCAGCGTCTGCCGCAGCCCCATGGAAGCCATGACCTTGTCCACGATCTGCAGACACCTTGGCTGTGGGGACAGTGGGACCCTTGACTATTCTATTGATTTTAGAGAAGGTTCCAGACCCCGGTGGGTGGATGGAATCCGGTGTCGGAACACTGATATGTCCCTCTGGCAATGTCCTTCTGACCCTTGGAAACACAGTTCTTGCAGTCTGAAGGAGGAAGCTCATATCACATGTGCAGGTATTTGCTGTCTGTTTCTATGCATCTGTCCCACCCATGTAGGAAGCTGTTAATGATATTTCTATTTTCAAACCTAAGAGAAGACTTTAATGTGACTGTACATGATGGAGATGGGTGAACATGATTTAATCCACATATTACAATTTGGTTTCAAAAGAAAAAGAAAACCTGTGCTCATAGCAATTATGTGAAAAATATGAGAGATTGGCAAAAACTCGTGGGAGTACCATTAATAGTCTCACAAACTTTCTAAGGAATCGCTAACTCATTAGGAGTAGTTAAAAGATATGGCCAGCACCTTAAAGTAAGTTAGGGTCAGAGCATAGAATCAATCCTGACTGCTCCATCTCTTAAACTCTTGATGTTTTACTCTGAAAAGCATCTATACCACTTAGACTGCTTCTGAGCTCAGTGGATTGGCTGGTAGTAATTGAGTCCTGTAGGTACAAATTTATACTTTAGGTAAGAAGACAGAGAAGAGAAAAATTATAGTCACAGCTATCATAGCACTTACAATCCAGTGCTGAAACACTCATGAGGCAGAAATTTCAAGTGTCATGAAAAATGAGAAAGTGCTTGAAAGCCGTAATACAGGCAAAAGAAGAATCATATTTAGATGGAGACCTATAGGATGAGCACAAGTTTCTCAGAGGAAGAAAGTGGACAGATCATTTTGGTCATTGTAAGTACTGAGTTGGGATAGGACATGGTATATTTGAGGTACTGAGAAAATTCCCTCATGGCCAGAGCAGAAAGAGGATGAAGTAGAGAGACACAGGATTAGCAAAGGCTTAGCCTGGAATTGAGAGCAGAGCAAAGACCTCTGTTAGGCAGGATTTAGGAGAATAATCCTATTAATGAGGGTTTTTGTTGTTTTGTTTGTTTTTTTGTTTGTTTGTTTTTGTACTTCTTGGCTGCCAAATCAGGGAGAACTCCTGGGAGGTCAGTGGCCTCATTCCCCATATTTTTCAGTTTGAATTTGTCTCTTCTAAGAGGCCCTCAGTATATTGGTCTTCTTGGCTAATACTTCATGTTCTGGGCCTTTCTCCTTTACTCTTGTGTACTCTCAGCTCCCTCATTCCATTCTCCCAAAATCTTCTGCAGAATTTGGGGCCCATCATCCTGAAAATTCTCTTATACCTTCAATGTCCCCTTCACTTCTATGTTCAGATCAAAATCTGACTTTTCCTGAAAACATCAATTTTTCTATCAGTTAGAGGCTGTCTGTATCTCTTTCAATACATCTTTCCCTGCACTGAGACTTGGAGTAGGTATGCTCCTTGCTCTCGGTTGCCATTTTCAACAATTTCTGTTCTGCTTTTGTCTCAACATAACACTACATTGAAATTAACAGCATGAGGCAACACCACCTACTACGTCTGTCTGTTGCTGTCATCGTGCAACCTTCTGCTCAATGACCCCCTGGCCACCCTGCTTGTCCACTGAAGACTGAAGCACCAGGCTCACCAGGTTCTTCATCTATGTCGTACTCCTGGAACCATGAGTAGTTACTTCAACATACTTAAATGCAACTAAGGCAACAACCCTGGCCTCCCGGTTTGTTCAATCCCTCATTTCTAAGCAGCTTTCCTTCCATCCAACCTCTGGCTCTGCATACACTACCAACCATCAGTAACCGTACACCTTGAAATCTTGATCTTATTCCACTCTCTGGTCATTGCTTCTTATGCTATGGCTCATAAACTTAATGATCCTTTTCCAATAATTTTTATCCTCATGGATATGCCCAGTCTTTCCCCTATTGATTTTTCTTACTCTTCTCTCATGTCTTCACATTTTTCTTAGCAATATTAGAAAATACGATCCATCATTATAATCATTTTCCTTTAATTACACTCAATTCTCTTGCCTCCTCTTTGTCAGTCTTAACAGATACACACATGAGAATGGTTGAAGTCAACTACCTAACTTCTCTTTGCCTGTACTGGACAAATAAGGCAAGAAAAGAACACAGCATGTTGCTACTCTATTTTTGAGTTCATGGGCACAGTCTCTAATGGGCATTCCACCCTGACTTAATGCTTTACTGTGCTTCTCTAATATGTGTGCTTTCCCTATCTTTAAAATTTTATTTTCCATATGGAGTGTTTTCCTCACACAGTCAAAATGGAGTAAAAAAGAGGACAACTGTAATTGAACACCAATAAAAAAATTTTTTTAATAAAACTTGATTCCTACTATCCATTCTCAAAATCATGATCTTGCGACTTCCCTCACTGGGAAATTAGAATAGAAACAACTCCTCATCTTCCTTTCTGCACATCTACCGACTTGTGGCCTGAGCACAGGCTCTCTTCTAGGCTCCATCAGTGGCCTTAGTCCTCACTTTAGGCCAGTGTTTCGTCTCAGGCAGTAGATTGTAATCACACTTACATTGTAAAAGTCTTCAGATCTTCAATTATTAGCTGTCACAAAGCAGGATGTTGGGTTTTTTTCCACATGCTCAACCCTTGTTCCTAAAGTTTTCCTCCCTACTGTATATCTCATTTCAGTTAATGTCACTACCATTACACAAGCGCAATAGATAAGGACCAATTTTCATTTCTTTTACATCCCTTCCCCTCTATTCCAATATAACAGCAAGTTATGTTGGCTCTCTCTTCTAATGTATCCTTAATCCTCCTACCCTTTCTATTTTCATTATCAATTTAGTCCAGAAAAGAACCTCTCACCTGGATTAACCAACAGTTCGCTAGAGGTCACCTAGGTTCACTTTTTGTCTCCATGATATGTATTTTTCCTCTGTCAGCCAGAGACAAGTTTTAAAACTTAGTTTGTACATTTTTACTTTTCTTTTTTGTTTCTTTTCTTTTTTTCTAAACCACCAGTGGCTTTCTATTGACCTTATGATGAAACTCAGATTTCTTACACTAGTTAACAAAGCTGTACATGTTCCTTCCCCTACCCACCACTCAGTCCTTCTCTCCTATCACTCTTCCACTCAGCGGGTATGGATACTGTAGTCAAAAATAAAAAATATCATGAAAGTGTAATGAAAACTAATTGAAAGATTTTTAAGCTCAGAAGTAAATTAATCAGTTTTGCATTAAGAAAACATCCTTTGGCCCTAGTAGCGTAGCTCAGTTCATTAGAGCATCATTCCAATACACCAAGGTTGCAGGTTCAATCCCCAGTCAGGGCGCATCCAAAAATCAACTAATGAATGCATAAATAAGTGGAACAACAAAATGATGTTTGTTTCTGTCTCTTTCCCTCAAAAATAAATTAAAATAAATAAATAAAAGAAAACATCCATTGAGGACAGGATAAACAAAGATTATTTCAGGGGAAATGGACATGCATAATGGTAACTTAAAATAGCTTGAAGGAGTCAAAGCTGACTGCTAGAGATACAGGGGTGCCTTTTATTAATATGGTAAATACAGAAGCCTATGAGAGGAAATCCTAAGGCTCAGTTAGGATACATTAAAGTCCAAGTGAATAAGGACACTCAGGTGGAGATAGATGTCATCAGGCAATTTGAGTTTTGGGAGAAAATCTGGGTGGAAGATACAACTTATGAAGCTGTCATAGAGATATTTAGATTTGAGTGAATGATATCACCAGGAAAATAAAGATTCCTAGGACAGAATGCAAGGAACATCAAAATTTAAAAATTGAGTGGAGCATTCTATGAACTGACATGGAGTTTGATGCAGAACAGACAGAGGAATAGGATCCAGAAAATATTGCATTTGGAAGCCAGGTTAAAAAAAATTTCAAGGAAAGGGGAATAGTCACATATGTTAACACTAGTAAGAAATTAAGTAAATGAGAACCGAAGTGCACCCTTTAAAGTCATTGTGTGCCATTGAATGTCTTACCTGGAGTTCATTTGAGGGTGGAGTGTTGGGTGGAGGGTAGAAACCAGAAACAAAAATATCAAAGAATAAGGCGATGTTGAAAATGCACACAATACTTTTGAGAAACTGGGAAAGGCAGAGAGTTGGAAGTAACATGCTGGAATGTAGTATCCAGTACTGGAAATAAATTTCTTTTAATTACCAAAGTGATTAATTTGTTGACACAAAGCAGAATGAACTGCCTTTAGAAGTGATACTAGCACATTTCACTGCCTAGGTGCATGTGTGCCATTTGCAAAAACAACTAGAAACCACATCACAGGAAGTCTGTAATGAGGCTAATTAACAGAAATGCCAGAGTAGATGTAGCCTGGTTGTTGGCCTCAGACTCTGGGGGACTTCCCATGGAAGAGGGAGGGGACTCACCATGAGCTGCTCCAGGGGTAGGAGGGGAGGAGCCCTGATAAGATGGATGGAGGTTACCAGGAGGCAGGCTTGGGTTTATTCTAAGTACAAGTATCATAGGGGACTCTGGCGACTCTGGTGGTCCCCAGGGAATGAACACTGTTCTACATTAAAGAACACTGGGGGCAAGTAGGACAGCCTGCCAATTTTCCTTGTATCCCCTTTTGCTTGTCTCTCTTCTCTGAATCAGCTGCACTTGTTCCCGCTGGGCTCACACCAGGCTTGGCTCAGGGGAGTTTGTGTTCTTTCCATTAGTTTGGTTTAGGATTAGAGAAAGGCTGATTCCTTTCTCTTCCATTTAAATTACAAAAACGTTGCTTACTCACTGCAAGCAGGGAAGACATATGAGATGTAAAAGGAGAATCATATCCTATGACTCCTTGTTCATGCATATCCTCCTGATATAAACAGGATTATTGGACTAGTAAGTACTATTTTCTAAATCCATCCATTTTCATTGAAGCATATCCAAGCTCATACCCGTAAAAGGATTTCTGTGAGTGGTGTTTTATTATTGGTTTTTACAAAATTGAGATTCAATCATACATATTATTGTTAAATTTGTGTTTCTAATCATGTATATTTGTGGGTTTTTTCCATTACCATTTATCCCTCTTATGCCCTTTTCCTTCTCCACCCACCCTGCTCTCCCCAGCAACCATCACACTACCCTCCAGGTGGATATAACTCATTTAATAATGGCAAATACCTCATTCATGAGAAGATTCATGAGAAGATGGTACTACAGTTCATGTACCATTGCTTATTTATTGGTAGTCCAATTATTTTCAATTTTTCCCTATACAAATAATTTTGTGATAAATATCATTGTCATGTATCTCTACATACTAGTTAGTTTATTGCTATAGGATTACTCCCAATGTTTATATTATTAGATTAAAGCATAAGCAGGTGCACATACATACAAATGTTATGCTATGGTGAAATTCTTTTCTCAGGTTAATTATTTTCAATTGTCTTCTTCATATCTAGATGTTGAGATTGACTCTTAAAGAAAGCCAAATCATATAGATGCTCCAAAATTAATAAGCTTACAAAGCCCACAAATCTCATTCTATCTGAAGTCTGAATAAGGGTAACAGTTGCTTTGCTTCTCTTCCCTTTTCTTCCTTCCCTTATCCCTCTTTACTTCTCTCTCGTCTTTCCCTCTCTTCCATCCTTCTTTTGCATTTTCACATTGTTTTCTCTACCCTCAATATTTTCCCCTGCCTCTTGGGTTGTTCCCCCCAACCACACTACACCCCATTCAGGTTTACTTTGGACTATACGGTGGGAGTTGCTCGAAATCCACAACAGTGAGAAACAGGTATTTTACAGGCAGGGGCTTGCTCCCTTTCTTGTCTCTCTTTCTTCATCTTTGTGCTCTCACTCTTGTAAAAGACTGAAGATATATTAAACTGTAAGACCTTATATTGATGATAATTTTCTATAATCAAACACAATAATTGAGGGGTAATGAGGTTTTCAATCCTGCAATAACACCACCCAAGAGAGGTCCTACCATCACTTTCAGAGATGTCCTCTGCATAGAGCAAGAGGTTTGATATGAGAACATGGAAAGATAAGACCAACTCTGATATGTTATGGCAAGTACTGTGGATACTTCTTTTCTCTTGTGTTGTTTTGAATTTATGTCTATTTTCTTTTATTTCAACTCTTACATATGCTTTGTTTTGATCCTCTGTGTCTTCTTAATGTTGTTTTACTTAGTATATTTATCTGAGTCTCATAGATACATTTCTGTGTTGCTGACTAGCTAGCAGTCTATCTTTCTATAAATTCTACTTGTTCTAGTCCTTTTTAAAAAATATATCCTGTTCCTATAGTAATCTTTATTGCTTGTCCATTTTTCACACTGGTAAAATTATAAGAAAAGTTTGCTGTATAATTTCCCTTTAAAAAATGTAAGTATTGAATACAAATTACATATGTTATTCTGGACTTATTTGTTTTTATCACCCACTATTTATTACCACATATCATTAATATTAATTTATATTTCCTTTATTCCTTTGCCGATTAGCAAGATTTAAAAGAATTATATTTCACTGGATTTTATTCATTGATTCAGTCATCCAATAAATGTTGATCAAGGTCCCATACACAGCATTTATGGAAGATTCTCAAATTCTACCTGTTGAGTACATGTATACAAAGTGCCAGGCACTGTCTTAATATCTAAAACACAGAAGTGAGTAAACTATGCAAGGTCCTTACTCTAGGGGAGCTTTCATTCAGGGGTGTGTGTGGGTGTGTGGCTGTATGTGTCTGTGTTTGTATTTGTAGTGGAATATGGAGAGTGATAAACAAGTAAACAGATAAAGCAATGTCACCTAGTGCTAGAGGCTATGATCCACTGAATGTCTCAGTAATTCAGGCCATTAGATTAATTATGAGGTCTGTTTTCACTTGTCATTGGACTCCGCCAAGGACCCTAAATTATCTGGTTGTGGGGCAAGACCACACCCAGCTGACCCTGATCCAGTGCTTCACCATTGTCTGTTTCTGCAGGAAAGAGACCCAAGAGCTGTCCCACTGCTGCCCCCTGCACAGGTACGTCTGCCCCTCCCACCTCCCCTGTGGGCTCCCAGGGCGCCTTCCTTCCCCAGGGGTGGTAACAGGAGGTGCTGCTCCCTTGTCAGACAGAGACAAGCTCCGACTCAGGGATGGAGACACCGAGTGCTCAGGGCAAGTGGAGGTTTGACACAGTGGCTCCTGGGGCACGGTGTGTGACAACTCGTGGAGCCTGGCAGAGGCCTAGGTGGTGTGTCAGCAGTAGGCTTTGGCTCTGCCCTGGAAGCCTTGCAGGAGGCGGCGTTTGGCCCAGGAGATGGGCACGTCTGGCTGGATAAGGTGCAGTGCAGGGGCAGGGAGTCCTCCCTGTGGGCCTGTGCTGCGGACCCCTGGGGGCAGAGCGACTGCAAGCACGAGGAGGACGCTGGAGTGAGGTGCTCCGGTGAGTGGTGGAGCCTGGGTTGGGCTCTGGTTGGGCTGGTGCAGGGGCGGGGCAATGGGCTGGGCTGCGGTAAGATGGGCACTTTGTGTTCAGGAAGCATCTAGGAGCTGTAGCCCTGGATTAGCAAAGGAGGGGCAGAGAGGACTCAATACTAATATTGTGGTAGCCAAAGGGATGTATTAGGGCTCAGGTGGGAAAAGTGGGCTACCAGGGTTCTGACCAATTTCTGTGCTCCAAACTCCTGTTTTTCTCTATAGGTAAAGGATCAACATTGCCAACCACTACAGCAGGTACAGTACCACCATCCATGTATGTGAGAGAATGTCCAAATTCTTGGGACATTTTCTGTAGAGTCTCTGACAGAATTAGCCAACACAGGAAAGGAAAGATCCCAAGGAGCAACTGGGTGGTGGGGAGTTATCAGTAGAAGGTTTGATGCTCTAGTCTGGTGAAGCCCAAGAGATGGGGCTGAAGTTGTGCCCTCAGAGATTGTTGTACTTATGGGGATCCCTGAAAACCCCCAGCACTCTCATGGACCAACCTGGAGTGGAGTTGACTTTATTTTAGGACATAGTATGGGACATGGCCCAGGAGGGTGGCAGTCAATCCCATTATGTTGGAAGCTGGGACTTCACTGTCCTGAGATCTCTGGAAACGGTGTAAGTGAGATTCCCTGTACATTTGCCCTTCTCCAAATCCTCCTGGCTTTGTTCTTTTTAGGGACCAGATTAGGCCCACGTTCTGACCCTGGCATCTTCTCTGTCCCTGGGATCCTTTGCCTCATCCTGGGATCCCTTCTCTTCCTGGTCCTCGTCATCCTGGTGATTCAGCTGCACAGATGGAGAGTGGAGCGCAAAGGTGGGCTGCAGAGGGTACTGGGGAACATACAAATTGTATGGAAGCAGGAAATGGGACCAGAAGTGCCAAGGGGAAAACTGGGCAAGGTATCTGTTCTTACCTCATTAGTCTGCAAAATCCACCTGCCCCTCATTAGCCACTAAAAGCTGAATATACAGGTGTTCTAGAGAATGGGGTATGAGCTATATATGTGAGACAGGAAAGACCAGGAGCTGAGCTTTGGCTACAGGGTCACACGAAGGTAGATGGTGCAGACATGGTGCAGGAGTATAAGACTATAGAGGGTCCCTGGTAGCCTTGAGGGTTTTTCCACATGTGAGCCTAGGGGACAATGAAGGGTCAGCCTTTTGCTTCAGTGCTGTGTCAGGGGGTAATCTCTGACCTGCCACTGTTTTACTCAGCCTTGTCCAGCTTTGAAGATGTTCTTGACCAGGCCTTGTATGAGGAGATTGATTATATTTTAACACCGAAGAAAGAGGATCTACTGAGCAGCCCAGGTGAGTGTCCCTGCCTTGCCCTCCTGGGACCTCTACTTCTCAGCCATCTACTAGCTGTGAGCCAGGTCTCCTCAGCATCTGCAAACTCCACATATACCCCAGGCTCACAGAGGCAGGAGGAGCCTCTCCAGAGCCCCTGTAAGCTCCGAGCCTTCCCTTGACACCACGAGAGCCATGCTAACCCAGCATTTATTCTCAGCCTTCCTGTGGAGGCTCTGGGTGTGAAAAAGGTTGTTCTGTTTGTTTTTGTGATGTTTTTCTCCACTTTAGAATCCCTGTCAGATGACTCAGTGACAAAACTGCCATATTACACCAGGGATGGTGAGTAGAACAATGACTACAAATCTGTTCTAGGTAGTAGAGGAGGATCTGTCTTGGCTGTCTGAGGGACAAGGGAACTTCCCTCAGAAGTGAGAGCCAGGCGGAATAGTCTGCCTTTGACTGAGATGAGAGAGTTCTTGTTTCACTGGACTCCAGTCTCCCTCTTGTCTGGTGGCTCTCCAATGCCCCAGGCTCTCATTTTCCAGAACAACCCTCATTCAGCCACAACAGCACAAATTGTTTTTAAAAAATAACTGGAAAGGATAACCTGATCAAATATTTTAGTAATGTTCATTGGTGTAAGATTTGCTTTGAAAAGTACTTAGTTTTATTCCAAAATATTGAGATATTTGGGTCATTTGCCAATTTATTGGCACATAGAAATGAAGTGCATAGCCTTCGAACACCCGTTAAAACATGGGGTGAATGGTGCCTTTGATTAGGAGCCATCAGAATCTCTGGGTCAGAAAGGACTATAGGCATTACCTAAACCAATCTCTTCACTGTGGTTCACCTGATCCCGTTGTCTGCTCATAGAAGCCCCAGCTCAGAGGACTGATGCCTTTAGCGACGGTTATGATGATGCAGAAGAGGTACCAGTGCCCAAGGCTCCTTCTGACTCTCAGATGGGTGAGCAGGACGTGCCTGCAGAGAATGGGGTGAGAGCTTCTCAGACAGGTGAGTGGGATTAGATGATACCTGTCATATCTTGTCTCTGGCCTGGACAGGATGAATTTGAAAGTCTTAATGGCCATTCTCATTGTAGATTCAAAATTTGGATGTCCTCATATGTTTGATAGCATAACTTAGACCTTATGACTTTCTCTAACTTTCAGATTCCTTGGACTGGAGGAAGCACTCTGTAGTCTTGGTAGCTGTTTTTCCATCACTTCATCCTTTTTTTTCTTTTAAATATTTTTTTAATTATGTTATTACAGTTGTCCCAATTTTCCCCCTTCTTCCTTCTCCACCCAGCCCACCCTTCATTCCCACAGTCAGTCCCCACCCCGCTGTCCACGTCCATGGGTCATTCATTATGTTCTTTGACTAATCCCTTCTCCTTCTCTCAACCAGCCCCCTTCTCCCTCCTCTCTTACGGCTGTCAGTCTGTTCCATGTTTTCTATGTCTCTGCCTCTGTTTTGCTCATTAGTTTCTGCTTTTCATTAGATTCTGCTTATTAGTGAGATCTTATGGTATTTTTCTTTCATTGACTGGCTTATTTCACTTAGCATAATAGTTTCCAGGTTCATCCATGCTGTTGCGAAAGGTAAGAAGTTCCATTTTTTTACTGCTGCATAGTATTGCATTCTGTAAATGTACCTCTTGCACAAGCCCAAACCTGGGCCTAAACTCGCAACCCCAGCATATGCCCTGACCAGGAATCAAACCCATGATTTTTCAGTTTGCATGATGATGTCCAACAAACTGAGCCACACCAGTAAGGGTGGTTATCAATTCCTTTTAAATTCAGACTTTCTTCTCCATCACTTCCTCTTAATTCTTCAGAACATTGTCATTTCTTGTCTGTTTAATTATAAGGACTTCTAAACAAATTACATCAACTCATCTCTCCTTACTGGAAGTTGATGGAGGACAAATTGGCACTGGCCCACACACCTGCATCTAGGTGGACAAGAAAGCAAAAAAATAGGACACCTAGACAGAGGAGATCCAGAATGAGTATACACAGAAGAATCAGGAACTCTTGTCTATATGAGTTTTATGGATATAGAGATAGAGTCATCAAAATCCATGCAAGGTACAAAGCATATGACAGCAGTAGCACTGGCAAGAATAAAACATTCAGTTTATACTTTACCTGATGTAGTACAGTATTACCTGAAAGGAGTCTGTGATAAGACAGTGGTGCATGTTCTAATTTCTAGAGGAACCACTAAAAAATGATGCAAAGATATATAGCGAAAAAGCCAGCAGAGGAGTGAAACTAGAATATTACATATCTTCAAGTAACTAAAAAGAAGGCAGGAAAAGATGAACAAAAGAAAGATAGAACTAATAGAAAATAGAGAGCAAAACGGTAGTGCTAAACCCAACCATATTATAATGATATTAGGTGTGAATGGACCAAATATTGCAATTAAAAGACATAAGCTGAGTACTGCACATCAATTAGAGTAGCCAAAATAAGCAATGGTGTTCATATCAAATGCTGACAAAGAAGAAAAGAAACTGGTTCTCTCATACATTGCTGGTGGGAATGTAGTCACTTTGGTGGTGTCTTCAAACTAAACATGCATTTACCATGTGTTGCAGCCATTACATTCTTGGACATTTATCCCAGAAATATAAAAAGTTATGTTCATGCAAAACCTGTACACAAATGTTCTCAGCAGTCTCATTTGCAAAACAAAATACTGTAAACAGTCCAAATGTCTTCAATGTGCCCACGGTTGAACAAACCCAGATATACCCATACAAGGGTACACACTTCTGCAATAAAAAGGAATAAAGTGCTGATACATGCAACAACCAAAACGGGCTTAAAGAATATAATTCTTAGTGGAAAAAGTTGCAGAAATGTTACATCCAAAGGTTATACTATTCTATTTATATAGTTATCAAAATGACAAAACCATACAGATGGGGAACAGATTAGCAGTTGCCAGGTGATAGGGAGAGGGGACAGGTGGGATGGGAGGGGAATGTGAATACAGAGAGGTAGCATAAAGGGATTTTTTTGTGGTGATTGACTAGTTATATATTTTGACTTTGGTATGTTAGGATTTTTGTATTTTGTATACTTTTTCAAGTTTAGTTTTTAATACTTCCATGTAAACATAAATTCATGCTTTGTCCTTAATAATAGAGGAGATTGCTGGGTAGTAGAGTATAATACTAAACTTCCCTGTTGTTTGTATCTACAAATGCACATAATCATATTTTTTTTTACATCTTTCCTTGTTTCTTCCACACTTGCTGAGTCCATAGTGGTGAGTAGGTTTCCTATTTTATTTACATAATTGTTTACACTTTTCAATGGATATAAGCTTTTAAATTTAACTTTTGGACACCCACAAATAACCATCTCCTTTGCGGACATTCAGAAACCAAAATTAACTCTCCGCTTAACAAGCTTATTTCTCTGTAATCCCTTTGCTCTTTTTACTCTGTCACATCACATAACCTTCACAGCCTCTTGTGAAAGGTGCTAGGCATTTATTTCTGTATGGTTCTTCCCTTGATGGATAGAGGGTGGAGGTGCAAGAATGTTATCCTGCAGACCTTCAGTTTATTTCTTTTGCTCTAATTTGGATATTGATTTGGATTTTTAAATCATATTCCTGTGTTTATATTTCAACAGAAAAAATATGTTCTCCAACTGTTCCAGATCCATCTTCCTGACTCTGGCCCAGAGCTGACACTGGGATTTAATGGGTTGATACAGACCTAGATCAGAAGAGGTAGTGACAGGAAAATAGTCCTCACACAAAAGTTGGTGCAAAGTCTTTCTCTCAAACTGTCTTTAGAGCAAGAGGATCTTCAGCATCTCAATGAGATGGCTTCTCTTTGCTTTATGCTGCTATTCAGAGTCTGATTCTGACTTAGTATATAGATCTTTCTTCTCTTTCAATCTTTTTCTAATTTGTTTTTCAGGTACAGTTGTCCCCATTACTCTTCCCTCCCATACTTACATCCTACCTCCCACATTCCATTCCCCCCTCCATTGTCTTGGTCCCTGAGTCTTCTATACATGTTCCTTGACCCTTCCCCTTCGTTCCCCCATTATCCCTCTTCCTCTTTCCCTCTGGTTACTGTCAGTTTGTTCTTTATTTCCATGTCTCTGGTTCTATTTTGCTCATTTGTTTATATTGCTGATTAGGTTCCACTTCTAGGTGAAATCATATGGTTTTTGTTTTTCACTGCCTGGCTTATTTCACTTGGCATAATATTTTCCAGTTCCATACATGTTCTCATGAAGGGTAGGATTTCCTTCTTTCTTTCTGCTGCGTATTATTCCACTGTGTAAATGTACCACAGTTTTTTGATCCATTCATTTACTAATGGGCACTTAGGCTGCTTACAACATTTGGCTATTGTAAATTGTGCTCCTATGGACATTACAGTGCATAGGTTCTTTTGAATTGGTGTTTCTGTATTCTGAGGGGATAATCCCCGAAGTGGGATTGCAGGGTCTAAAGGCAGTTCTGTTTTAAGTTTTGTTGAGGAAATTCCAGTTTCCACAGTGGCTGCACCAGTCTGCATTCCCATCAACAGTGCACTAGGGTTCCCTTTTCTACATAACCACGTCAGCACTTGTTATTTGCTGATTTGTTTATGATGGCCATTCTGACTGGTGTGAAGGCGTATCTCATTGTGGTTTTAATTTTCATCTCTCGGATGGCTAGTGATGCCGAGCATGCTTTCATATGTCTCTGGGCCCTCTGTATGCCCTCCTTGGAGAAGTGTCTGTTCAGGTCCTGTGCCCATTTTTTAACTGGATTGTTTGTCTTCCTGGAGTGGAGTCATTTGAGTTCTTTCTATATTTTGGAGATGAAACCCTTGTCCAAGGTGTCATTGGAAAATGTATTTTCCCATATGGTTGGTTCCCTTTCATTTTGCTGATGTTTTCTTTAGCCACACAGAAGCTTTTTAATTTGATGCAGTCCCATTTGTTTATTCTTTCCTTTATGTCCCTTGTTCTAGGGGACATGTCAGT